TTAGAGTATATGATTTCTTGGCTTATTATCTTTTGTAAAAGTTATGACGAGTAATAAGACGCAAATTCCCCATTTGATCTAGAATTCAGCATAATTTATCTTCTCGTAATTCTTTAGACTATCTGAGAAAGTCAAATGCTAATACATGCAGTGATTGTACAGAGACAATCATCAATCAATAACAATCGCTCATTGAAATAAATGCTTACTTGAAATCAATGCCTATTAGGGGGTGTGAGCGCACTGACTAGTAAATCAGCAAACATGCAATGAACACCGAGATAGCGGGTAGTTCCATTCCCGCCCTCGGGCTAAAGAAGCCATTTATCTCCTGAATTCAATAAATTTGTATCAGATCTGTCTGAAAGAGTTAAAACATTGACTTGATACAATGACAGTGAATTCAAACACCTCTCAAATGCGTGATGAAGTCCAATGTTTCGCGCACCAACTACTAGCCTATAAACGATGAACGCTTTATCCTCTTCCTTCTAATCTCTGTATAACACCACTACAAGCTCGAACGTTTATATAGTGGGTTTCTTGTCTCAAAGAATACAACGAACATCTTCCGTCTCTTATGTGATCCTCACTTCTCACCAACTCCTGATAAAAAGCAAAGGTAAGACGATGGCGATTTCCGCAGAGGGGACAGGATATAGTCGCACATATCCCACCGAACATCATTGATAGAAGTTAGCATTTTCATTCAGAGCGATTTTCAGATGTACATCTCTGTAAACTTTAGTTATTTGACTGTTTACTCTGGTGTGTAAGATGAAATTCGTATCGCACTTGCACATAGATTCGCTCAAACAGAACAGAAAACAAACCGAGAGGATAAAGCTCTCGGTGCAGATCAATTCCACAGTGACAGGTCATGTTTTCTACTTCATCAGGCATTGTTTGAGGTGATTGAATGCATATCTGACCTATACAAAAGCTCGCGATGGCCCATCGATATAACATGCTAGTATTGTCGTCCTCCCAACGAGTCTGACATCAATTCGGGCACCTCAGAAATATAGAAGGCTTAGTGAGTTTCAAACAAAATCGAAACATTGACCACGTGTGTTGTAAATTAATTCTAACCTCTGCGACACATACGCCCTCAGACAGATTGCATAAATCGATTGAGTGTAGGTAAAAGAGAACGAATGCTCAAATCTACTGGCTCCCTATGAATCAGATGTAACCTATTGTGGCTTCTCAACATAGCCCTGCAACCAGTCCACTTCATTTCATTCGTATGATGCGGCCAATTCTAACACAGCGCTTACCCGACTGATCTAGTTGTATCGTACTTATCACCGATCACAAGACATAATTTAGGCGTTCTACGATTTGAAGCACTTCATTTTTATTACGCTTTATTAGCACTTCATCATGACAACTCAAGCTATTGATTGATTACTAATATTCTAGTAAAAATATCTTCTATGTAAAAAATGCAAGGAAACACGAGCATATTTCAGAGAATGTGACTGCACCTCGCACAGTTTGTACTGAAAAGCATGAATTTTTTGGACAACTATTTTCTCTTTATGTTAAAAACAAGTATAGAGAAATCTCCTTATTAATAATCAATACTCTACAGCGACAAAGTTCAATTGAAATCAAAGTTTCCCTACAAAAAACCAAGAAGTTCCCGATGAGGTTGGAAAAATGAACTTTGACTGTAAACCGTTACCTTTCATAAAGTTAGTTAAACGTACTTTGAGAACCTTCGCAAAACAAACTAGGTTTGAAATCCATATCTCTCAAGCATCGATTGACTACAAAAACGTAATTGAAAAAAGAACGAGAGTATGTTAGATAGCAGTTGGAAATTTATTCCCTTTACGACAATGTGGTTTTCTCGCTGAAACGTAGAATATTTCTTGATACATGGGGTATATTTCCACTATAAAACTCTTTATAAGCGTCGCTTTTGCGATATTTCATTGAAGTCAGAGATTATCAGAATCAAAATGTACGACATGTTCGCAGAAAATTCTGTGTAATGTTGAGACAGCTTTCCCCGAAAACAAAACGTAATTCTCCTTATAGTGATCACTTCGTGCTCTCTCAAACCGAGCTTATTGCTAAATCTCCAGTTTTCAAGCTAGAGAATGATTGCAAATAACTCGGTGAAAAGGCTTTTTTTGGAGATAAAGGAAGAAACACGAGCACTTTTCAAATGAATGCGACCGCATCTTTGCAATTCTTGATGAAAACTGTAAAATCTCAGGACAACAAAGTGCTCTTCTCCTAAAAATATGTTTATAGAAGTACATTCAGTGACAGTCTTATTTTTTATAGCGAGGAAGCTTACTTAACTTCAAAACTCTAGTATATAATACCGAAAAAATCCGCTATGGAACTGTTGTAACGCACTTTGAGAGCAAAATATCTGTTTTTTATTATTAGAATGTAATATGGAAGTTTCGGAAAAAAAGCGGCTTAGTGTAAGGATGTCTTTCAAGCTAGCAAATGAGCTCAAAAATATAGACAAAAAAGAAGAACCAAATGTTTTTTTAACAACTGGAAGTAAGTTTTTTCCAAAGGGATGTGGTACTTTTGTTGAAGCATGAATTAATTGACGCAGGTTAATGTTTTCTTTGCCAAAAACTCTTTATAGAAATTTCCTCTATGACTTTCTATCAATTACTGCTAGGAATGTGCTCTCAGAAGCTCAGATAAACGAATAAATTTCTGTTTCCATAGAAGGGGATACGAACTCGTCGCCGAGTCGCCGCGGCCGGCGCGAGTGTGGCGCCCACTGTGTAGCGAGAACGATACATATGGTCGTCAACGAGTTAAATATGCCTATCGAGGAAAGACAACATCTTCCAGGAAGATTATGAACAGCCTGCAAGGAGACCTGCTCAAACGGTATTCTACACCGTTCAGACAAATGACGAAAGACGAAGTGAAAGCGCACAGTGGAAAAAACCAATGTGAGGTCGGATCAGATAATTATAAAGTGTTAAAAAGAATACTGGAAAATGAAAAGATTAATTTCGGTAGAGTAGTCTTAGCTGACCCCATAGAAAGAATGTAGTTACTCGAATCCCTCAGAAAAATACATTACGGCGAAAGTTTGCCAGTATATCGTTGATGCCAAAAGATTTCACAAGCTATAAATGAAATAACAAATCAGTAAGCAGCAATTCGACTACAATGTCCAGGAAGATCTAGCCACGGCGAATTTTGAAGTTCCTTCAGATTATTGAACAAAAGCGTGATGTAGATTCCTATGCAGCTATTGAAGTGAAGAGATTAGACAAATAAAATATGGACGAAGAAGTAGTATTGTTCTAAAATGGCGGTTTCTATACAACGCTTATCTTATCTTTCGTTCAAATGATAAGATAAGAATGGTCTGACAGCTTACGGTACGCCATATAAGAGAAGAATGGAAGAGATTTCTCACGATGTGACATGTCTATCACATGAGTAAGCGAATAAGATAAGCCTGTTAGGTGGAGTGGTATGTCTAATTACTGGTAGGTTATTCCATATGTTCTAACATTGGAGGAATGAATACCAAATTTATTAACTCATGGTCCCCATCTTCAAATATCACCACCCTTGCGCGAGTTTAACTCCAAAAAGAATTTAGTCCTTTCAGGTGGCAGGTAATTGATTACGCGCACATTTTGCTGTTCTTGCATGCCTAATCAGTGCCACATGACCTGCAGCTATCGCTGCTACTATTGGCAGTCGACGTCGAACAAGTATCAACCTACGTAAACTGAAAAGATCACTCAATGTAAGAGTCTGGAGTGATTGATTGTATCGAGGCTCAGAAAGGATCACACCTTTGGATTGCTTCAAGGGAATCATCATAGATGCATTATACGACATACATAAGAAAGGCAAAATCAAATGGAACTCTCTTTCTTTGACCGATTTCAGTGATGGCATGATTTTATAGATATACTCAGTGATGTAGAGTGATGTCCAAAAGTTTCGCGTTAGGAGGGACTCAAACCCGCATTTCACTCTATCCGAGAGCGGAGTAAGACGAAATCGTTAGGCAGCAGCCGAAGCAAGAGGTTTAGAAAATCAGTGATATGAGATACGATTGTGTCAGTCGAATGACTGCGTGTGGCTAAGCGTAAGAGCTGCACTGATTTTTCTTCTGCTCGCCTTGCGGGTCTTCTTAACTGATTTGTCGTTGAACTAACAACTTAACCGGTCGGCTTCCGCAGACCAAAACTCTGCGTGTCCGCCAGCGTGGGAAGACTCCACTTCCTTTGCCCCGATTTGTCGCATACTACATCACTACTTTTCACTGCAAGACCGCATGGGGATCAGTCCAAAACTTAGCGAAACTGGACATGTCTCCTTGTAACATTCTTATCTTATTCGGCCGTTTCATTGGTTGTGGCATTAGAGCTATGAGCACCAAATTTACGACTCAGGGTTGACTGTGATAGTGTCATTTTGTACCGTTCAAATCGAGATTTAGTGGATCTTAGGGCGATTATACTGTTGCAGAAAGTACGCATAGGAAGTGGATCGCAAAGCTCAGAGGTAGAGAGGGCATTCTGAAAGATCAGTAAGTAGGGCTTGGGCCGTGCACAAGAAGCTACATTTAACCTTACGCGTCTACTGGCATTCACTTCTAGCCGCTATTCGTGCATAAGCAGCAAGTGAGTTTGTTTCAACGACAAGTCTATCTCAAAGCAAGTATAGGCAAGTAATATACAAATGTTCGCAAGAAGACGTGTTATCGGGCAATACCAGAATCACGCAATATTATTTACTTGTCAATGAATTTGGTGTTTATTGCCCTTATGCCAAGACTTATGGAACGACTTATCACAAGGAAATCAACTGAGTGCCAAACGTGTTGATATTAGCACAGTAAATTGTGATGGGGTTGAAGTCTCGAGAGGAAGGATTTTGATTAGGTACAACGATATCGTTCACTACACATCAAGTTATCATTTAGTTATTTCAGCTCGATAATTGATTTGAATTCACTGACCCAGGAGGGATGGATGGCATGGTGAGCAATAAACGCGATATCGAACCATTGACCTCGCATGAAAAGCGTGGCACCTCTAACCACTGTGTCATATGCTCTCATATATATATATATATATATTCTATATGTATATATGTATATATATCAACAATATTGGCTCAAATAATGAAGAGACCAGTGAAATTTGAGCGTGGTCTTGATAAAACACTCAAAATAAAGATATATATATATACTCGCACCTAGCATAGTCCATAATCTGAACACTGACCTTGAATATGGTCGTGCGTGATTTTTGGTGGCTTTTGTGCAGACGGGCGTAGGAGCACGAGTAGCCGCTATAACAGCTTTTAAGAAAACTCTGAAAAAAAAAATTGAAAAAAAACTCGAATTACAGGACGGCGGGAAGAAACTTAGAAGCCCCACTGACAGATGAAAGGAGGAAATAAACAAGTGATCACATTTCATATTAATAGTGATTGATCTGTCTTGCGGAGGTTGAGGGGCTACTGTGCCACTAAATGGGGTGCCAACCTCGATCGCAGCAATGAGTAAACTTACTGCGTTACCGGATAGCGTGGCTCAACCACAAATTGGCTGCTACACATGGACAAGTCTTGGAATGTTGTCAAAATCCCTTATCTCGTCCACAGCGCCGCGGGCGGCTGACGATTGCGACATCTCCAATTTGAAGTAGCCACTGGCGATTTGAAACCTAACATTTCACGATGAAATAATTGCGCTCTACATTGCATATTCCCCGAAATGTAGGTGGCAGTTAGCGCGTGTATGATTGTCAGTTGCAAACCATATTTCTTGCAGCATTAGTATCTACTTTTTTCTCAAGTGAAATAGAAAGGGTTCGGTGATTGAAATTGAACATTCTATTCCTCATGCAGCAGACTATGTAATTTACCGATTGCTCACATTGCTTCCAATGTACTTTTTACTATAATTTGTGATCTCCTTCTTATCCTATAGCCCTTCAAAAAGTGGTGAAACTGAAAAAGTGCGTTATTTGGTCGTTAAATTTACTGTTTTTTATTGCCCTTGTGTTCAGTTGCTCTACTTTTATTATGCGATCTACATCTTAATAGTTTCAATTTGCCTTAATCAGTTGTAATTTGTGCATATTTTCGTTACGACTCGCTGCCTTGTTTTCTCATGCATATTTTCAAATCATCTGTATATTATTTTATACATCCCCAGAAATTATGGCCAAAATTTTAAGTGGCAACTGTCTCCTCACTTTTCAAGACGGAAAGGCAAAAGCTTGTCTTAAATTGCTTTTAGTGTACCCGAGAGAGTGCTTGTGATATTTATAACATTTTCGTCTTGGGCTGCCGTGTCTTTCAACTATCCTCACTCTAACAATGTCTTAACCCTCCCGAGACCTTTGTTCAAGTCGCCGCGTAGTGCAATTTTTAACGAGCGCCGATGTTTGCTACTTAGCTCGAGTTTCTCTCCGATCTGGAAATAGTTCCAAGCTTGTAGCGCTTTGATGCTTAGCAATTTTTTCTTCACGCCTGCATGTTTTTTGGTGCCAGTATAACTTTTATGTATAAGTAAAAATCTGTGTTTCACTAATCAATTGCTATAATACTGGCGTTCTATCAGATATAATAAGTTGCATAGACAATATCGTAATGTAAATCTACTAGTTCTAAAATATTCTGTTGTATAAAATACTCATTAGTTGCCACAGTGACTGAAAGTTAGAAAACAATGATTATTTGGTCACAAATGATGAAGCATAATGCATGCAATGCCAGTCATCGATAATTCTCAGCATTTTTTGGATTTAGGGTATTCCAAAAGTTGGAGTCCAATATGCCTGATAATCATTATTTTAGCCACGCATGTCAGTGGTCTTCCAATGAGGTGTGACTTATAGAGCTCGATACACGTGTTTCGATCTTGCGATCTAGTCAGTAGGGCAGCTATCCTTTCTTGCTTTTTGCTAATCTGTGTGGGAGCTCCAGTCCCCACACCCGAGTTAGCGACGACGAACGTTTTACACTCTATTTCCAGTGAAAATCTTACCAAACATGGAGTGTTGTACACTCGATTGCTTTTATCTGGTATATTCAATAGATCATAACTTTCGTTTTTGGTTTCTTAAGACCACTACTCAAATTTCAATATGCTTGGCAATCATTATTTGAATCTTAAGAAAACACTCGAAACAAAAGTTGGAGTTCAAGTGAATATCCTTCTAACAATCTGTGTCTAATTTTGCATATCCTTCTACACATTACTAAAGGCGTTATTCGCAGTTGCAACCTTTTCATTGAAATGATCTACTTATTTTACGCCTTCCACGTATTTTTCATTTGAGTTGTATCAAAGCCCTTTGCTGTACGTTCCTCAAGTTTTAGCCTTCTAATGTAACATCACCGTACCACGTGCTGGTGGTTTTGGCCGTCTAACAGTACACAGACGTGCTCCAACCACCTGTTTCTCATGGGTATCTCGCCCACTTTTACGACTCAGGTACACACAGTATTGGAATTTACAAATTATCCACAGTTCATGTTATGCAAAGAGGAGCCAGATACTTTAGCGTTACGCGCAAAAGTACAAGAAACTTTAGGGAAACAAGAAATTAATGAGAAACTTCTACAAACAAGGGAGATACACATTCCGTCTCTCCGTGGCTTACAGGAATGCAAACGGCAGTCCAGCATTTTCTACAGTGGTATCAAGCTCAACTGGTTTGCTGAAAATCTGAGGGTGAACCGCAGAAAGCAAAATACTGTTTACTCTTCCCAGTTTGACATTCATCTTCAAGCACAGGTTCGACAGATTCTATCTCGAAGGTGCAGTCGAGTGATGTTGCTACAGACATTCAGTGTCTTTGGAGACTCCCCCTTCAAAAGTTGTCGACTGAAGAAGTTGCGAACTAATTTGCCTTTATCATGCTTCGAAAAAACAAATCCTTTGACTCTCTCGCCACATCTCAGTGCGAAATGTCAAATTTTTTTTCAATTACGCTCCTACGATGTCGCGAAAGAAATGTAAAGAAATGGATCTGGAATTCGTTGTTATCGCAAGACCTTAGCTTTTGCATCGAAAAGAAGAAATTTTCAGATTTCCAGAATGATTGAACGTTCTATCTACCAGGAATACACTTAATAAAGTACTTTCAATAATAATCCGATTTTTCGTAATGATAACGCTACTTGAGAATGATAATCATATTCTAAAACTGTCAGCAATACTCCTTCTGAAATTTGAATAACAGGCTAACCATAACTAAAGCAAAATGTTATCCCCTTCTCTTCAGTAGAGCATAACGTGAGTCCTATTTTATAAAATAAAGCACAAATATCGATATCAGCATTCCTCAAGTTATCCAGTGACCGCAAAAGCCGACGCAATGGAGAAAAAACATAATCTGAATATGCTTTTCGAGCCTTTCATGAGGTCTGCTATGAGCTATGAGCACTTATGTTGTGCCAGACTCTTGTTTTGGCTTACAGCCTAGTCATTTGCACGGTGCCCTTCGTTCAGTCAGTTTCTCGCGGATCCACCCTATATAGAGGAATCGACGACGAATTTGTTACAAGAGTGACCGTTCTGAAATCTGATTCTGATTCAGCTGTTAAGTTCATGCCAACTCATTTACGCAGTACCGAGATCTTTTTGGAAGGCTTACGATGCGTGCAGCTAAATAATTAGCATGCAGTGGAGTCGTTTGGTGTGCAATGCAAAATTGTTCATAGAAAACGAACAGAAAAATAATATGTTAGACTTGTAGTTCAATCTTCAGGTGATCAGAAAAAATATGCACAAATCGGGGGGTTAGCCATGAGGTCTGGTTCTAGCATTAAGCCTAACCATCACCTTTCTTGTATAAGGAAGAAGCTCCACTTTCCACTCACCTGGCCCTACTCTACTGCCGCTATATATGTGACTGTTTCATTGCCTGCTCAACACAAGAAAAATAGACCACTTTTTCGAATTCCTAAATGGACAGAATGGATTAAAAAACTTCACACCTCAATAAGATCGCTTTTAAGTGCTTTTTACGTCAAGCGAAGTTAGCTGTCATATTAAGAGATGCCTGAAAGAAGCAGTCTTGTAAGTTCGGCGGTAGTAATCGAACTTCCACCTTCAACCTTCCGCCATCAACTAGTCGGCAACCGCCTTTATGATCGACTGTGCCACTCGGAAGACTGAATCTGCATTAAAGGGAAGAGAGGAATTGTATTACTTTTGGTACAATATATTTAATAACATGTAAGGCATGCGGGATGAATATATAGGCAAAACGAGTAGAATATTTGCTTTTGAAAGAACATTTAGATAGAAACTCTAATGGAGTACAAAGCAAGCCTCGAGATTTACACAGGGCGCAAAAGCAACAATGGTTCTGATATGACTGCCACGATCCTGGCGCTTGAATCAAAAACATCAAAGCGCGAAACTGTTGAAGCGTGATGGATAAACGCTAGTTATGAGAGCTGATTATTTTGCGTGGTTTCAAAGATCTGTCAGACAATACTATTCACCGGTTACGACTTGCGGCGTGGTGGTGACGGACAAATTATCAAAGTAAGCGAGGTTCTAATTGCATTTTCTTAGTGAAAGTCTTTGAAAAAGTGAGTATATATCTCCGGAAGTTTGTACGGCTTGTTTCACGTTTTCTCATATCAGCGTATGTTCTCCATTCTTTTCGTTCCCCTACGATCGTTGCTCAGGAAGGTGATTTTATCCGTGAAAGGCTATGTATATAAGTGCTATCTCAGATTCACGAGTAACAGCCGAGAATACCGATCATTTTCGTCATTTGTTTGGACTGTATTGTTGGCAGGGCACTGCGTACCCGGAACTGGAGTCTTTGATGCAAAGTGCATTAATTTAAATACAAATGATATTCGTTTTTGTTTAACCGCTTCTAGCAGTGGTATGATGCTTCAAATATAAACCCAGTGATGTAGAGCAATGTGCAAAACTTTCGCGTCAGGCGGGACTAGAACCCGCACCTCATTCTTTCCGGAAATGCGAGCTCTATCCGTTACACTACTGACCTTTCTACGCTTCAGCGCACCTATCTGCCAGCCGCCAATCGTCAACGGCTTGGCCCGGGTAGTCGTCT